TTTTAAAAAAAAAAAAAAAAAAAAAAAAAAAGGTAGAAATTTCATGCAGAAAGAATCAGAATTCACGGCAAGTTTTCTTTCCAAAACATGAATGAGTAAAGAAGTTAAAAATTAAAGCTACAGGAATACCACTAAATCCTAATTTTACAAGACTTTTAGAAAAATGTCACAGGAAACAATTTTAAAAATAAGCTTAGGTCAGTAGCAGCAGCTCATACCTATAATTCCGGCACTTTGGGAGGCCAAAGCAAGAGGATCACTTGAGGTCAGGAGTTCGAGACAACATGGTGAAACCCCGTCTCTATTAAAAATACAAAAATTAGCCAGACATGGTGGTGCATACCTGTAATCCCAGCTACTGGAGAGGCTGAAGCATGAGAACTGCTTGAACCCATAAGTCAGCAGTTCCAGTGAGCTAAGATTGTGCCACTGCACTCCAGCCTGGGCAACAGAGTAAGAGTCTGTCTCAAAAAAAAAATTTTTTAACATAAGTTGGGCGTGGTGGCTCACACTTGTAATCCCAGTACTTTGAGTGGGCTGAGGCAAGTGGATCACCTGAGGTCAGGAGTTGAAACCAGCCTGGCCAACATGGTGAATCCTGTCTCTACTAAAAATATACAAATTAGCTGGGTGTGGTGACAGGTGCCTGTAATTCCAGCTATTCTGGAGGCTGAGGCAGGAGAACTGGTTGAACCCGGAAGACGGAGGTTGCAATGAGCTGAGATCACACCATTGCACTCCAGCCTAGGCAACAGGAGCAAAACTCCATCTCAAGAATTAAATAAAAATAAAAAATTAAATAAGCTTAAAACGGGACAATTTTTAAATGATTTGTTGGCCAGGTGCAGTGGCTCACACTTATAATCCCAGCACTTCAGGAGGCCGAGGCAGGTGGATCACTTGAGGTCAGAAGTTTGAGAACAGCCTGGCCAACATGGTGAAATCTCGTCTCTACTAGAAATACAAAAATTCACCGGGCATGGTAGCAGGCAGCTGTAATCCCAGCTACTTGGAAGGCTGAGGCAGGAGAACATGAGAATCACTTGAATCTGGGAGGTAGAGGTTGCAGTGAGCCAAGATGGTGCCACTGCACTCCAGCCTGGGCGACAGAGCAAGACTCCATCTCAACAACAACAACAAAAACTTGTCTGTCAGTCATAAGCTGTATTATAAGCTTAACATTGAACAATTTTTAAATGACTTGTCTACAAGTCATATCCTTATACATGTAGCAAACTGTCACGTTATAGAAAAATGAACACATCACCTTTACTTTTGCATCAACTGCAACTTTAAAGCACTCATTTTCAGTTAAGATACAGATGATAGATGTCCAATAATAGTACAATGCCACATAAAAATTCCACTCAGTCCAAAAATTCAAAGATTTTACAATATAGGTAACAACATGCTAAATTAACGGTAAAACAACTACAGCACTAAGGTGAATAACTTGTACTGGGACACAGAGATTTGATATCAAAGATACTAGCAACACCAATCCACACAGATTCTATAGTTTAGTGTAATTCTGACTTAAGCTGTTAGCTTCAATCCAAAAGGAATTAAGGTCTTCTCATTTTATTTATTATTGAGAAAAAGGAGACAGTACTAATAACTACCTATAATCAACACTGATTATAGGAATGACCATTAAATATTAACTGTATTAACTAAATGTGATCAAATTAAAAACAGTGCCTCTTGTGCTAGTTTACAAAACAAAAACAAAAAAGCATCATCACTCTGAAGTTGTCACCACTTAGTAATCTGAGATATTTTAATTGTAGCTGCAATGTTTGTGTTTGTTGCCTGTGTGTATGACTCATATAAAAAGGTTTTCCCAAGACTGCTGGATTTTTGAGAATGCAGAAGCCATAACTGGGGCATACTGTGTGGGAAGTGTCATGACAGTGAATGAATAAAAGGGGAAAATAACTCATGACAGAATTTTTTTTTAAGTTTTTATAAAAAGCAAGTCACTCACTAAAGGCAGACTCTGCAGAATAATAGGAAACATTGGGGTAAAGACATCCCTGCTCCAAGAAGCCTTCCTTGACTCTCTTGGTTGGATTCAGTGCACTTCTTACACTACACAGAACTTAACGGGTTTCCTTGTCTGGCTCCCCAGCCATGCTGTATGCAACTTCAGACCAAAGCGGTCTTATTTTACAGTTATTAGTATCTACTTCCCAAAACACCTGCCAAACAGAGGGCCCTCACTAGGTAGCTTATAAATAGGAATAATCAATTTTATATTTATCTTTTATTTTACATTTTACAAAGCACTGTCACAAACACTGTCTTTTTTGACCCACATTAACAATCATGGGAAGGGCTTTATTTAATCAAATGGCTTCTGGTTTTATAAACAGTTACTTCGATGACTAAAACAATCCTGAAATCACAAAGACAATTACATATTTATTCATCTTTGAGACAGCTTCTCCTTCGGACCTCAGTGCTCTCATAAAACTCATGTTTTGCTAGCATTTGCTTGCTCTCGATAATAGGTAGGGCTCACCCAGTTCTGAATCTGAAGGGTTTAAACTACATAAAGCTATTATTAAAGACCCTTCTAGAAATCAGACAAGAACAAGCATCCTAAGCTACCTTTTTCTGATCCTGTTCTTTTTGTAACTGAGTAAGGTAAGGAATTGCAAAAGCCAAAATCTGGAGAGCAAATGATGTCATGGATGTCACGCAGTTGCATCAATACCTGATGATGATTTAGCATAATAGTGGAACATATTATGCCAAGAAGCATAATGATGAGCCACCAGGATGTTTTACTGCATTAATTTCATGACTCTTTATTAGCAAATTGATATGCAAAGTAGCTCTCCAATTTTCTACCACAGAGAAGCTGACAGTCAGATTTACATCTTTAGCAAAGACAAATTTCTACAGAAATCGACAAATTTCTATGGAAAAGTCTGATTTAAAAATAGAAAAGGAGGCTGGGCACGGTGACTCAAGCCTGGCAGAGGTGGGGTATTGCTTGAGACCAGGAGTTTGAGATCAGCCTGGGCAACATGGTAAAACCCCGTCTCTGCTAAAATTACAAAAACTAATTAGCTGGGCGTGGTGGTGCACGCCTGTAATCCCAGCTACTCAAGAGGCTGAGGCGCGAGAATTAATAACCGAAACAGTTGTCATTTTAACAAGGAAAAGCTTTTTAAGATATACAACATGCCCATGGATCAATGTGGATTGAATAATGCATTTATATTGGCTTGTCAAAAGCAAATAGTTAAAATAACATACAAGAGAAAAGACACCCAATCAGATTACACACATGAATACACTCAAAGTTAGCAATTTAACACACATCACCAATGACCATAAGAGCTATATAGACTTAATTCTAAATGTTCAATTGTAAATGATGGTACTTTCCAAATTTTCCATGTCTCTTTAAATCCATGACGTCATCATTCTTAAGCACAAGTAAAGCCAATTTGTTACAAAAGGTATTTTGGTGTGTCCAAGGAAAAGCAATTGCCTCAACAATTCCCCACAGCACAGTTCAATGAAGCCATCATTCCTCAAGGAAGAGGCCACAAGGCTTCATAACCGACTTCCCTACATGAGAAACACAATCAAAGTCTCCCAATTAGCATTTAAACAACAACAAAAGTTGTTCTCAAAAAGGAACAACAAGCATAGTTACAATGTCGCAGCCAGCAAGTGAGAACTGGTAAAGCCTCAGAATCTTCATCTAGATCGATCAGAATCCCACCACAGAAAAATCCAAAGACTCTGGCAATTAAGAAATGAAGCTTTTATTTTCCTAATAAAAGTCGGGAGATTTAACAAAGCAATTGGCTATTCTGAATCTTAACAATCCGAAGGTTTCAAACGAACTCAATTGGCGCTGAAGTTACCCTGCAGAGACCATCAAGATCTCACAATTGCTTTCTCTACGCTTACAAATTCGTTCCCACCCTCCACCGTTCCCTTAGCACACACAATTCTCGCCAAGAGAAGCCTTCCACAGTCACAGCATGGATTGCTGTCTCAAGCAAGGAGATCCGCAGTTTCCATTTCTCTAGGGGAACACTCAACAAGCTAGGGGCTAGGAAAGGCCGCTTGTGTTTCATTTAACGTAAACCAATTCCCAAATTATCCCTTTGCAACTGCAGCTTCAGAGATGCTGGCCCCCAGCCGCAGCCCCAATTTTGATGGGCACCCGATTCCGGGCTCCTCTCTCGCAAAGAAGTGAAAGGTTCGGAGGCGCAATGAAAGATTATCTGACACCCTAAGCCATCCTTGCCCGGGCCACACACCCCTTCACTGCCCGGGTGAGGGGACGAGAATCACCCTGCTGGGGAGAGAGGGTGGGTTCGCTCCCAACCCAAGGGCTAGCTGGAAAGGAGCTCTCGTCCTCTCTTCACTCCAGGACGGCGATAGCAAGGCACCCTGCCCAACCGAGACCGACCCCCGCGCGGGATGCGGGACCTGCGCCAGACCCGGGGCGCCCGCTGTCCCTTGCCAGCCCCGGGCATAAAGGGCAGGAGGCGCCGGCTCCCCATCGCGGCCCGGGGAGGAGGTGAGGCCTCACCTGGCCCAGCCCGCTCCACGCTCTAGGGTTCGCTCCGGTGGCGACGGTAATGAGGGAGCCAGGGACAGGGCCAGAGCAGAGGCGCTCTGCCTCAGGCCGTGATAGCTGTGCTCGGGGCTCTTCACAGCTGTCGGGACCCCGAGCCACCCGGAGCCGCCATCTTCCTCCACTCAAACCCCGCCGCCGCAGCAGCTGCTCTAGCCGAGAGACAGAGCAGAGCGCGCATGCGCAGGAGCGGGCGCGGAGGACGCGCGCTCGCTCACGTCAGCGCAGCGGGCCGGCGCGGGGCGACTAGGGGGCGGCGCCATATTGAGAAGGGCTGTGGTCACTGGCCAAGGTTCTGTGGAGGGTGGAATGCTGTCGGGGGCAGCAAGGCTCCCGCACCCGCCTTCGCCGCGTCTCCAGCGTCGACCTCATAGCCGCACCCACCCTCCGCTGCAATGTCTGGGGCACGTAGGTGGTTTTCCCAGTGATTTGAGACTAACGTTTACCCAGGAATTAGCTCAGTTGTACCCCAAGGGCCTGATGAGCACAGAGGTGGCGGATGTAAGTGCCCTCGGATATCGCCAAGGGGAGGGAAACTCCGCCTGAGGTGTGCAAGAGAAGCCTCCCTTAACCGTGGTAGCCTTGTAGCAACCACTGTGTGAGGTGTTTCACTAGCTCCACTTTTTAGATGAGGAAACTGAGGCACGGAAAACCATCAGTTATTTGTCCAGAGCCACACACCTAGCAGTGGAGGTGGGGTAGCGCGGGAAACACAGGACTTAAACTCGGGTATGTGGGATTCCCAAGTTCCTTTACCTCCTACTGGCTATCACCAGGGGATAGGATCCAGCAAAGCCCCCCTCCCAAGGGAGCAGCCTGGTGTGTAGGTGAGAACCTTCATGAGCTCAGCCCTACGTACAGCATGTGGTCTAAGGAAATCACAAATAGAGTCAAGGGCTTCAGTCTAAACTCTGTAAGCAAAAAAAACAAAACAACTAAGCCCTCCCCAACCCACCACCACCACCACACCACACCTTCTGAATGGACTTCCTCCTAGGCCAGGGCAATCTAAAATTTAACCTGAGAGGTAAATTGACCAGGGCAGTCTAAAATTTAACATGGTTCAGGCCATGACAGGAAGTGGGGGTCAGACATGCCTCATTACACCCTCCAGCACTAACATCAACACAACAGACCTTAAGACTAACGTTTGCAGGCCGGGCGCCAGGTGGCTCACACCTGTAATTACAGCACTTTGGGAGGCCGAGGCTAGCGGATCACGAGGTCAGGAGATCGAGACCATCCTGGGTAAGACAGTGAAACCACATCTCTCCTAAAAATACCAAAAAGTAACCGGTTGTGGTGGCAGGGTGCCCATAGTCCCAGCTACTCGGGAGGCTGAGGCAGGAGAATTGCTTGAACCCAGGAGGCGGAGGTTGCAGTGAGCAGAGAATGTGCCACTCTACTCCAGCCTGGGCGACAGAGCACGACTCTGTCTCAAACAACAAGAACAAAAAAACGTTGTCCACAACCCCTTATAATAACCCTGACATTAATTTCTATTGATAATAACTTTCTTTTTTTTGAGACAGGGTCTGGCTTTGTTGTCCAGGCTGGAGTACACTATGAGTTATTGGTTCACTGAAACCTCTGCCTTTCAGGCTCAAGCCATCCTCCTACCTTAGCCTCCTGAGTAGCTGAGACTACAGGCAGCACTCCCATGCCCGGCTAATTCTTTTCATTTTTTGTAGAGACAGGGTTTCACCGTGTTGCCCACACTGATCTCAAACTCCTGAGTTCAAGCAATCCACTTGCCTCCAGCCTCCCAAAGTGCTGGGATTAAAGGCATGTGCCACCGCACCAGGCCTATAATAACTCTTTCAACTCATCACCAATCAGAAAATTTTTAAATCTGCTCCCATTTTGAGTCATCTGGTTTTTCTGCATTGAACCAGTGTAGTTTTTATTTATTGAGACAAGGTCTTGCTCTTCTTCCAGCCTGGAGTGCAGTGGCGTGATCTCTGCTCATTGCAACCAACCTCCGCCTCCCAGTTTCAAGCAATTCTCTTGCCTCAACCTCCTGAGTAGCTGGGATTACAAACATGTACCACCACACACGGCTAGATTTTGTATTTTTAGTAGAGACAGGGTTTCACCATGTTGGCCAGGCTGGTCTCAAACTCCTGGCCTCTCAGAGTTCTGGGATTACAGGTGTGAGCCCCTACCCCTGGCCATGAGCCAGTGTTTTTTGTTTTTTTTGGGGGGTTAGAGTTTCATTCTTGTTGCCCACGCTGGAGGGCAATGGGGCCATCTTGGCTCACTGCAACCTTCGCCTCCTGGGTTCAAGCAATTCTGCCTTACCCTCCAGAGTAGCTGGGATTACAGGCAGGTACCACTACACCCGGCTAATTTTGCATTTTTAGTAAGGATGGGGTTTTTCCATGTTGGTCAGGCTGAACTCCTGACCTCAGGTGATCCACCCGCATCAGCCTCCCAAAGTGCTGGGATTACAGGCGTGAGCCACTGCTCCCAGCCAGAACTAATATATTAATATATCTTTTTTTTTTTTTTTTTTTTGAGACCGAGTTTTGCTCTTGTTACCCAGGCTGGAGTGCAATGGCGCGATCTTGGCTCACCGCAACCTCCACCTCCCGGGTTCAGGCAATTCTCCTGCCTCAGCCTCCTGAGTAGCTGGGATTACAGGCACGCGCCACCATGCCCAGCTGATTTTTTGTATTTTTAGTAGAGACAGGGTTTCACCATGTTGACCAGGATGGTCTTGATCTCTTGACCTCGTGATCCACCCGCCTCGGCCTCCCAAAGTGCTGGGATTACAGGCTTGAGCCACCGCGCCCGGCCTATCTTTTTTTTTGAGATGGAATCTCTCTCTGTCACCCAGGCTGGAGTGCAGTGGTGCAATCTTGGCTCACTGCAACCTCTGCTTCCTGGGCTCAAGCGATTCTCCTTTCTCAGCCTCCTGAGCAGCTGGAATTACAAGCGGCTATCACCATGCCCAACTAATTTTTGTATTTTTAGTAGAGATGGGGTTCCATCATGTTGGGCAGGCTGGTCTCAAACTCCTGCCTCAGGGGATCCACCCGCCTTGGCCTACCAAAGTGCTGGGATTACAGACGTGAGCCCCTGCACTCAGCCCTGTATTAATATGTATCTTAAATGTGTTTGATTGATGTCTCGTATCTTTCTAAAATGTATAAAACCAAGCAGCGCCCCAACCACTTTGGGGACGTGTTCTCAGGATCTCCTGAGGGCTATGTCATGGGCCATGGTCACTCAAATTTGGCTCGGAATAATTCTCTTCAAATATTTCACAGAGTTTGACTCTTTTTGTCAACAACTCCCTTGTGCCTAAAACTGAAGCAAGCTTGATCTGGGAGCCGACTGCCCTGGGATAGAAATGTCCTGGGAAATCTCATGGGGCATAGGGCTGGGCCAGAAGCCAAGTCCCAACAGGCTGGTCTTGAACTCCTGACCTCAGGTGATCTGCCCCCCTTGCCACTGCACCTGGCCACACACCTAGCTCGTTAGCAAGCCAAGAGGGGAGGATTGCTTGAGCCCAGAAGTGCAAAACCATCATGGGCAACATAGCAAGACTCTGTCTCTACAAAAACTTGAAAAATTAGCTGGACATGGTGGCACATGTACCTGTAGTCCTAGCTACTTGGGAGAAAGAGGCAGAGGGTTGCTTGAGCCCAGGCAGTTGGAGGTTGCCGTGAGCTATCATCACCCACACTGCATTCCAGCCTGGGCAATAGAGAGACCCCATCTCAGATAAATAGAAAACAAGAAATAAAAAACAAAAAACAAAGAAAAATAAATAAGTAAATAGAAAGCAGTATGTTCTTCAAACCTGAATCATCCAAAGTCCCCTGGGGATACACTCAGGGAATCTCAGTGGGAGAAATATTGATTTAAGAAAATCAAGTCTTTCAACTAGGAAATTTTACTGCAAAAGAGAAATTGGGCAATTATAACTGGTAAAATAAATATTTTTAAGTTTGGTTTTTAAATCTAGTTTTTAAATCATGTCATTAAAAACCTCAAGCTGGCCGGGCGTAGTGGCTCACGCCTGTAATCCAAGCACTTTGGAGGCCAAGGCGGGTGGATCACCTGAGGTCGGGAGTTCAAGACCAGCCTGACCAACATGGTGAAACTCTGTTTAAAAAAAAAAAAGGCCGGGCGCGGTGGCTCACGCCTGTAATCCTAGCACTTTAGGAGGCCGAGGTGGGTGGATCACCTGAGGTCAGGAGTTCAAGACCAGCCTGGCCATCATGGTGAAACCCCATCTTAAAAAAAAAAAAACCTCAAGCTTAGCTAGGCATGGTGGCTCACACCTGTAATCCCAGCACTTTGGGAGGCAGAGGCAGGTGGATCACCTGAGGTCAGGAGTTCGAGACCAGCCTGACCAACATAGTAAAACCCCGTCTCTATTAAAAATACAAAAAATTAGCTGGGCGTGGTGGCAAGGCACCAGTAATCCCAGCTACTCAGGAGGCTGAGGCAGGAGAATTGCTTGAACCTGGCAGGCAGAGGTTGCGGTGAGTTGAGATCACACCATTGCACTCCAACATGAGCGAGACTCTGTCTCAAAAAAAAAAAAAAAAAACCCCAAGCTTAAAAATTACAAGAACTGAGCCAAGCGCAGTGGCTCATATCTGTAATCTTTGCACTTTGGGAGGCTGAGGCAGATGGATTTTCTGAGCTCAGGAGTTCGAGACCAACCTGGGAGCAACATGGTGAAACCCCATCTCTACTAAAGTACAAAAAATTTGTCGGGCGCCATGGCTCACACCTATAATCCCAGTACTTTGGGAGGATGAGGCAGGCGGATCATGATGTCAGGAGATCAAGACCATTCAGGTCAACATGGTGAAACCCTATCTCTACTAAAATACAAAAAATTAGCCAGGCATGGTGGCACACGCCTGTAATCCCAGTTACTCAGGAGGCCGAGGCAGGGGAATCACTTGAACCCAGGAGGTGGAGGTTGCAGTGAGCCAAGATCACGCCACTGCACTCCAGCCTGGTGATAGAGCAAGACTCCATATAAAAAAAAAAAAAATTAGCTGGGCATGGTGGTACACGGCTGTAATCCTAGCTACTTGGGAGGTTGAGGCAGGAGAATTTTTTGAACCCAGTAGGTGGAGGTTGCAGTGAGCTAAGATTGCACCATTGCATTCCAGCCTGGGCTGCAAAGCAAGACTGTCTCAAAAAAAAAAAAAAAA